CACGGCCCCCTACCCCCGGACTCACATTGGAGATGTACTCTTTATATGCTGCACGGTCCTGGGGCGACAGGCTCTGGGGGAGACAGAGGAGGGAGGTCAGGGTTGGATATATCTGACCGCGGCTGCTCAAGCCTGTCGCAGGGGGCTGGGCGTCCACGTGTGTTCACCCTGTCTTCACCCCTCCCAGGCTCCCCCAGACCTGCCGCCCTGAATCCTTCCTCAAGCCACCCTGTGCTGAGACTGCAGGTGTCCACACTCCTCCCGTGGCTTGGCCCCAACGCACGCTCCAGTTGGGTCCGCCTCACGTCAGCGTCCCCCAGTGCTGACTCACACAGTCCAGCGTCACCAAGTGCACCTCACACAGGCCCTCGAACCACTGACAAGGCAGTGGGGTTCGCCGAGCTTTTTTTTTTTTTCCTTTGCATCGGAGTCTTCCTCTGTCACACAGGCTGGAGTGCAGTGGCACGCTCACAGCCACCACAGCCTTGGCCCGCTAAGCTCAGGAGAGCCTTCTGCCTCAGCCTTCCAAGTAGCTGGAACCACAGGCGTGTGCCACCAGGCCCGGCTAACTTTTCGTAGAGTCGAAGTCTCACCAAGTTTCCCAGACTGACTGATCTCGAACCCCTGGACTCAGGTAATCCTCTTGCCTCTGCCTCCCAAAGTGCTGGGATGCCAGGCATGAGCCACCACACCCAGTTTTGCCAAGCTTCTACCACACCTGATCCCCATGGTCTCCCTGGGTCCTCGGTCAACATACCTGGGTGGCCCGGACCCACACCAAAGTCTGGGGAGATGCCCTGGTCCCAGCTAGAAGGAGGAAAAGGCTGTTTCCTCTGATCCTTCTGGCTCTGTGACCTTGGGCAAGTCACTCCGCCTCCTTGGGCCACGGCTTCCTGGCCCTTGGAAGCGTGATGTGAGGACCAGCCAGCACAATGCCCCGTCCTTCCAGGGCCCTTGCCTGCTCACCTTGACCCAGAGGTCCAAGTGCACCTTGTACTGCTTCTGCTGCTCCTCGGCCAGCTTCTTGTAATGCTCCTTCTGGCTCTGGGAGATGCGCTGCCAGCGGCTGCCAATCTCTACCATGCGCTCCTTTAGCGGCAGGTGGTTCAACTCCCCGTTGGACAGCAGCTCCTGGGAGAACTTCTGGTACCCATTCCTGGGAGGTGGGCAAGGTCAGGACCTAGCCAGGCAGCCCTCCAGCCCGGACCCTCCCACCCCTGCGGGGACTCCGGCTCCCAGGCTCACATGGGAGGTTTCTTGGGTTCTCCCTGGAACTTCATCTTCTTGGAAGAGTTCGCAGCAGCCGGAGGGGCCCGCATCTCACTCAGCTCCCTCTGGTGGGAAACCCGAAACGTCACAACAACACGCTCACCCCGCCCTCCCCGCCCCGCCATGCTGCTGCCGCCTGCCCCATGGCGCCAGCACAGTCAGGCAGCCACTTCCTAACAACTCCCGGTGGTGGCAGACACCACCGTTTCAAAGTGTTTTCAAGACAGGTGCGGTGGCTCATGCCTGTATTTCCAGCCCTTTGGGAGGCCAAGGTGGGAAGACTGCTTGAGGCTAGGAGTTCCAGATCAGCCCAGACAACACGGCAAGATCTCAGAGCTACAAGAAATTTTTAAAAAATCAGCTGGGTATGGTGGTACACACCCATAGTTCCAGCTACTAGGAAGGCTGAGGCGGAAGGATCACTTGAGCCCAGGAGGTCAAGGCTGTGGTGAGCCATGATTGTGCCTTTGTACTCAAACCTGGATGACAGAGCAAGACCCAACTCAAAAAAAAATCAGGCCTGTCATCCTAGTACTTTGGGAGGCTGAGGCCAGAGGATTGCCTGAGCCCAGGGGCTCGAGACCAGCCTGGGCAAGTTGGGGAGACCTCGCCTCTATAATAAATCACAAAAGGTCGGGCTCGGTGGCTCAGCCTGTAATCCCAGCGCTTTGGTAGGCCGATGTGAGTGGATTGCCTGAACCCATGGGTTTGAGACCCGCCCAGGCAACTTGGAGAGACCTCATCTCTACAATAAATAAAAAAATTTAGCTGGGCATGGTAGCGCACGCCTGTAGTTCTGGCTACTTGGAAGGCTGAGGCGGAAGGATCGCCTGAGCCCAGCAGGTTGAGGCTGTGGTGGCCGGGTGCGTGCCACTGCCCTCCAGACTGGGCGACAGAGACTCCAACTCAAAAAATAAAAATAAAAATGTTTTCGCAACAGCATTCCCGTAGCTCCCCGTCACCCCAGAGGCTACCATCCCCGCCCCTCCTCATCGCTGAGAGACTCCGGCTCAGAGGAGGAAGCCGAGGCTTGCTCAGAGTCACACGGGAGGCTGGGGTGAGCAGAGCTGGACCCACGGCCAGTGTCTGCGTGCCGCGTGGAGGGCTGGCCTGCCGCCTTCCCACCTCATATCGCTTCTGGTCTTCCGCGGCCTTCTTAATCCACATCAGCTTCTCCTTCTTCTCCATGTTGTTCCAGGTCATCTCCATGGCCTTCAAGGCCTTTACCCGGTCGTTCTGGGGACAGACAGGGGCGTCAGCCACAGGTGGGGGTCCCCTAGGCCAGAGGCGGCGGGACAACCCCTCGTCCGCGCTGCCACCTTGAAGCGGGCCAGGTAGTCGCCGATGACGCTCTGCTGCCAGATCTCCTCGGCTCTCTTGGGCGACTCGGGCAGCTTGCCCCGCTCCTCGCGCTCCGCGCCCGGCTTCCTCTCGGACTGTGCCTTGAGCGCCGCCTCCCGGGCCTTGTACTTGGCCTGCGGGAGAGGAGGCCCGGCGTCAGCCTCC